AAGAGTGTATTGCCTTCTGCTTCTACCATGAAGATGGATGCAATGTTTTCTCCAAAATGTTAACCACCTACTCGTACAATACAACAGTGCCATAATCTAGAAACTATGATCCATCTTCTAACCTGAAGATGGAGCTTGTATGTTCCTCCCAAACTTGTTAACCACCTACAGACTATGTAGCATCACAATCTAAAAGATCATAGTCCACATTTTCACATCCATGAAAACCCCAACTCATTAAGTTAACTGTGACAAGTACAGGAACTGAAGATAAAGATTCTGATCAGTGGAACTGTCACCAATCTCACATTATCCTCAAAAGCAGCTTTATTCTGTTTGCCATTTAATTAGATTACAAAGTCTTAAAACAGTGATGTAATAAAGAACTGGCCTTCAAATAATCATGCTACTCGCATTCAATTTGTACCACAGTCAAGGTATTGTCTTAAGGGTTATCTTACTACAAACCCAATCCACATTGTCATTGATTTAATATGGCAAAACTTGACAAGTTTAAAACAAAAACACTACTACAAACAATCTTACTACAAACCCAATCCACATTGTCGTTGATTTAATATGGCAAACCTTGACAAGTTTAAAACAAAAACACTTCTACAAACAGCATAATAAACATGAACATGATTAAACAACGTCCTCTATAAACTGAAAGGAAAAAACAATATTTATACATTGACAAGTAATTTTAATAACAGGATACAAAATTATACATGCATATTAAAACACTAGCTTATTTTAAGATACAAATAAACATAGGCATAAAAACTTAACCATTTTCAGTTCAAATATGAATAGGAACTAACATGAAAATCTATGGTTTGCATTAATGCACAAATTATAACATGGTAACATGACATATTTTATAGCAATGACAATGCTGAAATCACACATTATGCATTTCTAGAATCTCTTTTGTAAACAAATTATTCTTCATAAACTTCCCACACATTTTAAACAGAAAACCACACTGGAATGTCTTGGGAGATAAAACTACTATACTTTTAATACAAACATAGTAAACATGCTTTTAAAATATTTTCAAAAGAAACCTCAAACCTGAAATATTTTAATAACAAGGTCAGAAAACTCATGTAAGTGCTTGGTCAACATGAGTAACATGATCAAATATTACATTTCTATTAAATGCGGTATATTTACATAACATTTCACACACGGCTCTTCAACACATTGTCACACCTAATATGATAAAATAAATATACCTTTTTGCACTTTCCATGATAAAACACAGAATATTAAGGACATTTAAGAAATCTGATGACCTTATTATACAGTACATGTAAAGAATGTGAAAATGGGTTACAACCCTTCACTGTTATTTACAATTCAGAAGTCATCCATTCTCTAACTGAAACATCATACATGTAATCAAAAACACATTTCTTCTTTTTTTCTATACTGTCAGCAGCATATATTGATTAAAGTGAGTTTTATTTATGATGTCACATTTATTTCAGAACTTGAAGCAAACTGATGGACCTTTGTTTTCAGTGTTTGTTTACAGCGAGAATAATATGAAACCAATAAATGCACTTTGCTGGCAGAATATAAAATTGTTTATTGTTAAAGCAGGTGGTACATACAGGTAATGCTGGACTTCAAATGGTTAATTAAAAAAACCAAAAGAAGCAAAGCCAATAATAAATAATTATTATTTTTATAAGCACCAATTTAAATTTAAAATTCAATTAACCTTAAAACTATAGTCAACACAATATTTAGAAATACTCTTTAAAAATAAATATAAATGCTCACTAAGGCAGACTGAATGTGTCATATCAAAGCATTTCCCAATCAAAATTCTGCTGTAGCCACATTCAGTTTTAAAATAACATTTATATGCTGAACTTGTTTTCAAAACAGCCTGCCACTGAACTCAGTCCTGAGACAGAGGAGAGAATACTATCCGTACCCTCACATAAATTTTGAGTTTCAACCATTTATATGTAAATACACTCTGTTGCCAAGTTCATTTACTTACATGGTCCTCCCTCACCCCTTTCAAAGAATGGAAGAAATAAAACATCATGCATACATTTATTTCTGACATTTTTGCAAAATCTATTAAAACAGTTCATAATTATACTTACTGCCCTAATCTATATTTCACACCTTTAGATGCAAGTACTGGACATTTTTGTATACATTAACATCATACAAAGTTTCTGTAAAGTTTATGAAAGGAGCTGTAAGCATTATGTATATAAGATTATGAAGGGCTGAAAATAAAGTGGTCAATTTTTTTTACTTTACAGTCCAAGTACACATACAAAATGTAACAAATAATACCGCTGAAATACAGTACCAGACCTCTTATCCAGAAAGCCTGGGAACTAAGACTTTTAGATTACCTGGGTTTTGAAACTTTATGCAGAAGAATTTTAATACAGACAAAATAAATAATAAAACTTATATTCTGAGATATGCTTCACCCACAAATCACAATTTGTTTTTCACAAGAAACAGAAAAACTCAGTTCTCACTTGTCAGTTAATCTCCCTTCAGTTCAAATATTCTGCTAAGCAACTTCTATTCACTTCTGCACAGTTCCAAAATTATGAATTCAAAAAGCATTAACTGCAATCCACTTGTGTGCCCCCATACCTTGGAGCTCAGGTATGAAGACAAAGATGGCAGCATGTTAACAAATGTCTTAATCCAAAGAAAATGTGCTTTCCACATGACACCGAGCTACAGAATAAAAGTGATTTTAGGTCCTTACAGCATTAATTACTGAATGTAGGAGTGAGTTCAGGTTCTTATGGCAACAAGTAAGAAGATGAATATCTTCTGAAATGTTGCACTATGCAGTCAGGTAGATACTAACTAACCTCTGAAACACCAGTCAGTACCCACTGGACTATACGGAGGAACATCCCAGAAGGTAGCCATCTTCTTATAGACTGTATATGTATATGCATTCTGCAACTTTTGCTTACAAATATAAATATATATACATTATAGAGGATTAAAGAGCAAAAAGTGAGAGAACATTCAGACATGAGCATCTGGATGAAATTTATTTATATGACGCAACAGACTGTGTTTATGTTTGGTTCGTCTTGGACACAGAGGGCACTGAAGTGTTGCTTCCTTGCCACATTCAAGTCTAATGTGTCTTTTGAGGGTATACTCCCAAGCATAACTGCGTCCACATTTCTTGCAAAAAAGGAGTTGTGTTGGTAAAGTAGGAATATCCCCAAACTGTCTACGAAACATGGTGCTTGAATTATGAGATGTGGGTGTCAAAGATGACATAAAACTTGAAGAATAATTTGGCAAAACATGTCTATCAAACCTCATTGTAGTAGACTGTCCAGCTGAAGATATATTGGTGTACCCTGATGGAGAATTAAGAGGTGGTGAGTCAGTGGTGCTATTATTCTGTGATGATACTGAAGGCATCATTGAAATTTTTGTGGATGTTACTATGGATTCCAGCAAAAAAGATGGAACTGCTGGTGTATGAGTGGAGGGCTCTGGTGTTCCCAGTGTCCAGCCAAAGCCTGGAAAACAAAAAGCGGTATCAGTGTCTGGTCTAACATACAAACATTATTCCATAATTAAAGCAACTCCAAACAGAATTAACCTTTTAAATATCTGCAGCCAGTATACTGGCCAGTGTATGTGAACTTCATACATGTATATGGCCAGTTAACTGGCTGCAAGCTTAGTCATTTCTTGTGAAAGTCTGCATATAAATTTGAATATCCACAAAAAGAACTTGATCTAGCTGAGTTGTACACTGCTGATTTAAGGGGGTACAGCAAAGGTTAACAAAAACATGCAACAGAAAAACTGAAAAGATAATGGTTCTCAAATGATAAAAGAAACGAAGGATACAAACAGAGAACTCAGTGGCAATGCAGAAAGAAATATACTGCATTCTCTGCCCAACAGCAGGTTTTATGTTTCTGAAAAACACCACAATTGACAAGATTAAGACAAAGCCTTAAAGGGAATTTGAGATTAGGGAAACCATGGTTTCTGCCAACATTCATAAAGAGTCTAAACCTAAACAGATCTAAAAACCAATCAAACTGTATGTCCTCATAAACCCTGTCACCAGAAAATGTTGATCTGGTATGGAAACAACAGGTATTTCCATGTTATGCCAATTAAAAATTATCAATCATTGTAATCCACAGCTGGCAACACTGCAGTTGGGGAGTGATCACTGTATATTAATAATGGTAACACAGTCCCTTTCTATAGTATCTGATACTCAGTTTCTGGTCAAGATATTATTCCCTGTTGTACAAAACCTGAAAGTTTATCAACATGACCATCTGAAAATCTCAATAATGAAACCATCTACAATAAAGGAGACAAGTTTTGTATGACTAATTAAAGGCCTATATCACTGTTAACCACTTTCTCTAAAGTTTAGGAGAACATATACAACAGACTTAATTATTATATGCATACTAACAACAAAAAAGTCTCCAAAAATGTTAGCTTTGGGAAACATTCTCCACTGAATACGCAGCATTCAAGTTACCAATATATTAAAAGCCATTCTCCAAAAAATGCATCTTAGATGAATATTTTGTGACCAAGCAAAAGCTTTATTACTGAGTAAATCATGAAATCTTGATGGATAAATTAAGTTTTCAAGGTATACAAACACTGCTGCAAATTAGTTTACAACTTATCTTACACACAGAAAACAAAAACTGGAAATAAAACCATCTAGTACAGCTAACTTCTTCTCGAATTGGTGAACAGTTACATGAAGTTCTGCAAGGGTCAATTTTAAGGCCTTTACTTTTCATAATTTGAATAAATGACTTTTTTGAGAAACAATACCCATAGTTGTCTAAAAACTTTTTTTGAGGGGGGGGGGGCACAAGTTGTCTTAAAAAAAGTGGCATATCTTCTGCTGTAATTAGATACACAGCTCATTTCATGCTAATTTTAAAGGCAATAAAATGTTATTTCCAATGACTATTATACCTGTCATACCAACAGTCATTTCTGTTCATGTATTTTGATACCAATGACTTTAATTGTTTTAAAATCTCAGCACTGTATGGAGCACAAACTGCACTTGTACAGGCATCTTCAGGAATGTAAGAATTTTTGTGTTCACAGTTTTTTCAATTGTCTTCCCTTTGCTAGTCTTCTTTTTGAAGGGTCACTTGCCAATCAAGTGTAACTTTCATATCAGAATTGCATTGCAGTGATCTTGGCAAACTGTTCAATCTCATCATTGTCACTGTCACTATCATCACCATCACCATCTTCTTTATTTTACGTATCATCTATCAGCTTTGATATCTTATTATGACACTTGTCACACTTTATGATCACCATTGCAAATAATAAAGTTTTTCAGTCATCCAAGAACATAGATTTCTTAAACTGTTCCTGACATTGTTATGACCACTCATTTAATGGGTTACAGCACAAAACAATGGTGATGCAAGATGTCAATATATGTCCATTTCACTGATCACATGATCAGATAGAAATGAAAGCAGTCACATCATCACAGAACAACAGGATGAGGGAAGGGAATTGATGCACAAGAGGGAAAAAACAACACCATAGTGTAGCAGCTAATGTTGCTGATACTGGAATTCAACCAACAACAAATATAATAAATTGTGATAAGGTGAAAGTATCTAGGAGGTAAGTTCTAAATTTCATGTAACACTAATTTTTACAGCACATAATAATACCAAGAACATATGTTTAGTTTACTGTAATAGGTGCAAACCACAAAGCAAAAATTCAGTACAATTCAAATTCTCATTGTTGCACATATGTAAGTACTTCTCTCAATTGCTCATAGGTGTAGTACTTTTAGATCACCAATTAAAAATTGTTGGCTGATACCGCAGTGTTGGCCATGTTCACCTTCACTGCAGTTTTTTGAGAATTCTTCTAAACTTCGTTTGATGATGGAAAGAAAGTGGAATTGCACTGACTCATGTTCCTGTATCCAATTTGAACAGGCATGGAATCAGAGGGTAATGTAATATGAACAAACCTCCATACAACATAGAGTCTCAGTTATGTTGTGTAATACAGCACAACCAAGGAGAAGACATAACCTTCAGGTAAATGATCATAATACTGCAATATAACCAAAACACACAACAATCAAATATGCAGAAAACTGCATAATGACGAGCTTAAATTCTGAATTAAAAACTTACTTACTACAAAGCTAATGGCATAAATGGCGAAATCTTGTTAAGCAGCTTTGAGAACACACACATGAGGCACTTACTTGTAACCTAACCTAAACAAGTGAATTTCCTTTAACTTTGTCTATTACATACCTTTGTAGACATTGTAGACGATATCAACATTAAGTTAACGCACTCTTCAAAACACAACACAATCTAATACACAAGTTCATTATTCCATTTACGTGGATGTGCCCAATACTTTTTTTTTGTTATTCACCACATCACAAAAGAAAAAAGAAAATGCTAACACACGTTTTTACTTCCAAATATTAAAATTAGAAATAAATGATCACCGGTCACTTATTAAGCAAGGTAATATATCACACTACTCTTACATTTTCCTCCACCAACAGCACTGTACTACATTTTTAAACCACAAGAAAACCCATGAAAGCACACATTGCCAAGCCTCAACAGGTACCTCATGCCACCTAGTAGCCAATTTGTGAACTGTGTGGAATACCCCCATCTAGTAACTAACATGCAAACTGTTAAAGTACAATAGCGTAATCTTTAGAAATTCATATTTATTGTCCTGCTTACGCATAAAGTAAAGTAAAGTTTGTCCCACTATACGCCATGTAGGCGTTTGGGGTGAGAGGAGGTATAGCTTCTCCCTTCCTTGACCTCGGCACTAGATGGGGGTGAGTGGTCAGCATCACGCCCCGGCCGGCTTTACCCCCGGGAAAGCAGAGGCTAGAGTAAAAATCCTCTGCCCCCGTCGGGGATCGAACCCCGGCCGTCCAGCCCGTAGCTAGTCACTATACTATACTGACTGAGCTTTACGCATATCAATTCATTTTTATTTTTAAGGATCTTATGAAACAGTAGATGTGGTGTATAAAATTAAAATGGAGCTAACAGAAATACAATTTGAGGTCACTTTGAATTCACCTGACTTAGGACAGGGCCAGGTAGCAGGCTCTTGTAAACACACTAAACATAAAAATAATTAACATCTATAAAAAGAATAACACAAACAAAATACAGACACCAACAAATAAATATATAAACTAAAAATACAATGATTTAACTCGATTCGTAACTAAATTATTTTCATGTTGAATATGGCGCAATTCAATTAGAAATTTATTTGACCCCATGTAAAAGTATGTGACACCGATATATAAAAATATATTTACACGGTAAAATTAGTTTGCTTGCAATACATTGCACTACCCTTTACTAATGTAAAATAAATAGGTTCTTTACAAGCTATATCACACTACCAAACCCATTAACCACCATTGGCCAACTCCTAAATCATGTCACAGGCCACATAAAAATGCTGTATGGGCCACTTGCCACTTGCCTATAGGTCACAGATTGTCAACCCCCTGATCTGGCCCAAGGGCAGCCTATACAAAGAAGGTACTTCCTCAATGATGTTAGGAAACTGTTATAAACCTTTGAAACACAAGCACATGGTTATTACAGCTCCAGCAAGAATATGAGAACAGGTACAAAATCTATGAAAACTTCTTGCAAAAAGAATCAACAAAGGGGCATGAACTACATATGCCTGCACACTTACACACATAGTTACTGCTGTGAAGAAAGACTGATGCTGAGATGTTTGCGGACATGACGTAGTAGACTATGCTTATGTTTGGTTCTTAATGGACACAGTGGACATTGGAACTGAGCTTCCTTTCCACATTCCAATCGCAAGTGACGAAGCACACTTTCTCGCCAGCGGTAACCACGTCCACATAACTTGCAGCGAAACTGACCGCTTCCATCATCATCAAAATTTAACCATCGCAGATCCACTGCATCTATAAAAGAACCATCAAGTCAATGAAATGATGTTCATATGTGCTTTCAGCCTACTGACAGGAAACAGAAGTGACAAAAGTATATCACAAGTTACATATCATCCTACATCATCATCATCATTCACTCAGGCACTGGGCATCACTGGTTCACTTATTATGAGTATTATAAAACCATAAATATCAGATTCACACACATTCATATTTCAACAAGTATGACACAATAGCAGGTTGCACACTTGATTCATTGTTCAGTAGTTGCCTGATTCAGAACAGTGCCTGAGAATTAGCTATTCTGATTGACCTTTTCCACAGTTTCCCTCGGTCTCTCCAGAAAATGCCAAGATAAGATTTTAAAGACACCAATAACATCTACACTGACTTTTCACACCTAGTTCTAAAGGTTTGCCTATTGCCTAGGAGCTGTGGTAGCTCAGCCAGTATAGTGTCTGACTACAGATTAGGCAACTGGGATTTGATTTCTGAAAATGACAAAGGATTTTTCCTCCAGTCTCTGCATCTAGACTGGCTCTGTGACCCCAGACTCTTATCCAGCGTGTATCAGCAGTCCTTTACATAGGGGTTAAGCGTCGCCGGGGCATGACACTGAACACTCACCCTCAACTACTGCCATGGTCAAGAATGACTTTCTTTCCCACCAACCACCTCCATGGTGTGTAGCAGAACACACTTACTTTACTTGAATATTAAACTGCACACAATGTGCCCCTTTGCCTTCATACATACAGCCTTGCCCAGAAACAGATGTCAAAAAGAAATATATTCCCATTACAGCACCAGAACACTGTCACAAAACTTTACAATTCTATCTGAAGTAATGTTGGGAAGTTGGATTGTCATGGTAAGGGTAGAATCCAATATTCCATTATTCTTTTCATGTTTATAATTGTAAGAGATATTCAGCTAGAGGTATTTAACTACAAGACTCCATGAAACACTGTTCAGGAATTACCATATTAAATCATGAAAAGAAACATACAATTTAATCAATAATGCACTAAAAGACATTTGGTACATTCACTCTATATATGAGCCTACTAATCTATAACAAATTATCCTGTCACACACACAAAGGTCTACTTTAGATGCATTTCTAATTTTACATCCAGTGAATTTCAAACAGTAATATTGTGTGTGATGTTCATATCTAGAGCTCAATTTATTTAAGCAGCATGTTCAATACAACAAAAACTTGAATACAAAAACTAATGTGTTAAAAAATTATTTGTTAGAAACAACTGATCAGTTTCCACTGACATAACACTGAACAAAACCATATTATTGTTTAACCCTTAAAATACAGGAATAGGGCATATAAATCCCCATACAACAGAGGATACTGACTGGACTTCCAACTGGGCTGGGCATAAAGCCATGCTAAATGGTCAATGAAAGTTCAACATCATGGCATTTCCTTTGCAGGTTATGATGCCTTTATCATACAAGGCTGTAAAAAAACTGACCCAATGTGTAAATACAGTGCTATGAGAATGTATGGATGAGTGTATATGAAGAACCACACATTTTCTAAACAAAATTTGCAATATGAATAAACTGCAAAATTCAATGCTCATTACTACAGAATATTGTTCTGAAATGCACTGGCCATTTACAAGAACGTTAAAACAGCCAATCAGTACAGCGCCTAAGTTAAAGAAAAGCCTAAGCATCATATATGCCATCTAATGCGTTGGGCACTGATTGATCAACAGCAATAAATGTGGTTCCACCTAAGTGTAACAGACTCGCCCACCTCCCATGTGACACTCTAGTCAAAGTCACTTTGGATGCTAGGCTGCTGCTTACACCAACTGCACAAAAACTGTATAGGTGCAAACTTGTGTATTCATGGGAAGAAGGTGTGTTCATTTCTGAACACTACTTTAAATTAGAATCATTTGCTGCTAATTGTGAACCATTTATCAATGCATAGCCTGACAAGGAAGTACCAAATAAGATAACAATACACCAAAGCACACTGTGACGAATAGATGTTTGTCTTCAAGAGGGTGGTGGACATTCATAGCATTTGCTGTAAGACCCTTCTGTAAGATCTTTCTAACACATAAAAACTAAAAAATAACTCATTTGTCTTGTTATACTGTTGTCACCAAACTTATAAATACTGATGTATTTTAAATGGAACATTCTGTATTAATCATTTAGTCTTTATGATACAGATAACAAAAAACTGACAATAGACAGAACTGTTGCTATATTGCTCTTGAGCTTAATACTGTATATTGACAAGATACATGTTGTCAGCTAGAAGAGAAACAGCTGGCAATATAAAAGATGATGAAGAATGTTGTTTTTCAGCTTGGCTGCACATGAACGTCGTAGCCTAGCAGGCAATTTGATGTCGACATCGCAGATGACGCAGGAGGTTGGTTTTGTGTTTTGTTTTGTATTTGCAGTAGATGCAGTAGAACTGTGCTTCTTTGCCACACTCAACACGAATGTGACGTAGGAGATTTTCTCTGTGTCGATAACCACGTCCACACTTCTCACATCGATGCATGCAAAATTCATTCCATTCTGTTACTGGTACCAGCAGTGCTTGACTTAAATCATCCAAAGTAATACCTCCTAAAACAAAACAAAAATAAATGCTTTATTATAACAGTGTTCTGGCAGTTCTTTAATAATATGGGGCTTCCAATATATTTTTAAATAATGAACTACTAAACTTCACTTATGAATTCTATACATACTTCATCTTCAGTTAATTTATCAACTTTCAATAACAGAATTTATTTATGTTTTATTGTCTACTTCTCTATGTTTTATTGATGAAAGTACACAATATTGCTGAATACTACCAGAAAAAAATCCCTTCCTGTAGATAGTTTTGTGGCTGTATTAGGTAAGAAACACTGAAAGCAATTAGAAAAGGAACTCATTAAATGATAAACTGTGGTGAAATCTGTATGAATTTATTTTATTTGCATGAAGAAATATTATGAATGCACTTAACTGGCCAGTACATTAACAAACTAGACATAAAACAATTTAAAATTTTAGTTATTCCTTCTAGCATGATTAATCTAATATTCCATATATTCTTTTCACTGTTACAGAAGAAACAGTTCTAATATGCCTTATAAGTGGATCTGTTCTGTAACAATGAACAATTGTTTAGAGAAATTCCACAGAAATTTAACATTTTACAAACAAACTGAGATTATCAAGGTAATCTGTATGTAATAATAAAACAGAATATTCCAGTGTTCTCAAAATTATGGCAATCTGGTGAAAATTGGTTAACACAGAGATATTTGATGGTTGCTTTTTACAGAGTTACAACAGAACTATAAAGAGCTTAGCACACTGGATGCAGCTGCAGAGATGAACCTGCATTATCAGACAGTGTACTAGATTAAGTAAATATTCTGACCCTTACATACAGGAAACAAGAAAGTGTAGCCTGAAAACTGAAAAGTAATACATGATGTATAAGTAACACACAACATCTGGATGTAAGAGGGATGCAGCCATTGGGAAATTTATTTTAAATATATGTGTGTGAATTCACCTTATGCTGTTCAGATGGTTAAATCAAGGAAGTGTGATGTGACAGATATATAACTGAAATGTGCAGACAAGAAATACACACAGTTTTGGCAGAAGAACATCTCTGAAAGAACCCACTTGTTGGAATACTGATAACAGGGATAACATGTGGCTGGGATAGAAGAACAAAAATGTGTATGACATTTTCATAGGAAATTGTGTTGGTAATATTAGGATTGATCCTGTGGAAGTAAACCATGAAGATTGGAGATGGACAGAATTGGCTCAGGTTCATGTCTAATAGTGGGCTGTATGTTTAGGTTTAAAATTCAACTATCAGACTGATAGTTTTAGTTATGCTACACGTAAATATTGAGTTTTACAGTGATGTAAGTAAAATTTTTACACATGTGATAAGGCAAGCTAATATTTTTTGACATCTGATTATACAGTTTAAGCTGACTGAATCAAATCCAAATAAGAAAGTGGCATACAGTAAAAACAAGCTGTAAATTATAAAACACAATTATAATAAACACAATAATGAAAAGTAAACTTCATTTCTTTCTATGTACATGGCACACATGCATTATCAAATTGCTTTTCTGTTTAGCCCGATAACTGCAGATTGGGCACTGGAACATAGCAGGTTTGCCACACTCATAATGTCCATGCCGCCACAGCGAACACTGATGACGATAAACTTTGCCACAGTTGTTGCATTCGTATGTTTTTTGCTGCCGAGTAGAGATTTCACCCACAGTTGACATCCAAACTGCAAAAGTTAGTACACAATGAACACAAAATAAAAATTTAAAATGTTGAAAATGAAAACGTAATTATCCATACATTTACAAAACAAACACACATCAACAAAAGTAAATACAAGTATTCCAGTGAAATACATATTTTCCAAAGGCTTTCTTTGCATTGTGTACATTAATGGCCTTCAAATTCATTTATTGCATATACTGTACATATCCATTGTAAAGTTAATTACTCAGTAGAAAAAACAATACACAGAGTCATCAGTTTTCCTTATATTTTATTAAATACTCATAACATTGAAAAATGTTCCAAATGAAACTTGTAGATCTGAATGACTTCGGCGCAATTATTATTTTATAACATGTATCTATTTCTTTTTAGGAAAGTAATAAAATTTAAATAAGACAGCTGTTAAATTGGACCAAAATGAACTAAAATTAAATCTTGTCTGATAAATTTTAATGTAGGCTCCAGATACTGCATTTTATGCAACTCTGTTCAGTAGTTTGAAAGTTGAAACACGTGGACAGAATGATGGATGTAAACACAGACTCTCAATTATACATCCATTTTATGCTTTGTGTAGAAAGAATACATAAAATTATACTATCTTAAAACAAGCAGTTGCTACAATTTTTATATTAAGCAAATTGTATATCACATTAGTTGAGTTCTCATTATAAGTGTGAGTGACAAAAGATCTTGTCAGGTTGATGGTGAGAAAGTGAGGTACTGTACTAGGGCATATACCATTAGAGTCTTAGGACAGGCTTTATGTACCAGTGTGTGTGGGTGTGTGTGTATGAGAGAAGGAATTAATGTTACAAAGAGAAATTAGAGATTATGTTCTGCAATGTCTGGAACAAGCAAAATGTCTAAAAATGAGGAGAAGGATGATGTTAAATACAAGGATGCTAAATAAAGTTCTGGCTAATCTGGAAATGTGCTGGTTTTGTGGGTTAGAAAACATAAAATTAAATTCAATGTATGGTTTAATTTCCCAGTTACTCACACATACAGAAATTCTAATCAATCTAAATATTAGCATGGTAAAATTTCAGAATATTTCAGATACAATAAACAAATTACAATTTTGTAGAAAACATAATAAAATTATACAAATAAAAATTAAAAATGTAACTCTCACAAATTCAAACAAATAATGACAAACCACTCTTCAAAATTTTGTTCCAGGTATTACAGACACACAATAATTTAACATAAAATCTGGTAACAAATATCACAGCATAGAATCACGTTTGTTTTAGAGTATATAATTCTACGATATATGAGCGAAAAATCTTAAGATTATATATAACCCTTTCGTTGCTACATACTGTGAACACTGATGTGTCCACTTGGAAATATATTGTTGAAAATGGCTATATTCTAGGATTAACTGAAATTTCAGAGGTGTTTACAGCCCCCATTATCAGGGTGATGACTTAGTAAGTAAGCACCCCTGGAACATCAATCAGTATCTACCAGACTACAATGAGTAACTTCCCAGAAGACAGTCAGCTTCGTACTCATTGTCATAACAGCCTGAAATCTGAGATAAATATAGTGTTGTTACAGATATTAATAATGCAAATTATGACATTATCTTTGATGGGGATCACATGAGTTTAAATGTAAAAATTACACTACCTTTTCAATTTTATGTTCTTTGAAACTGGCACTAAATTAAACAGTCCACAGAGCACATAATAAGTTGATTCCTAGTTTATTTAATGATGCCAATGCAGAGGTTACAAAGTATCACATGAAAATATGATCATGAATAATGAGCCAGTAAGGATATGAAAGTAAGAGGCCTACTTTTGCATTCACTGAGAGAGACTGAGGGAAATCACAGACATCTTCAGTCAGCATGACCAAGTCACCTGGCTGAAATACATATAATAATACGAATGTATTCAAGGCTAACATAAAAACAAACCTGTACAATTAAAATATTTGTGGCTGAGGTGGCAGACATCATGTGTGGGCAGTAAGCATATTAAGATGTTGACAATGAAAAGGTTTTTCCTCACACATCAGATCTAGTACCTCAATGTAGCAACTGGATGACGACATTTCAAATGTCGTAACAAATCATGTTTATGTTTGCTCTTGTAGTGGCAATACATGCAATAAAACTGAGCTTCTTTGCCACATTCAACACGTATATGACGGGTAAGATTCTCCTTGTGGCGGTACCCACGACCACACACTTTACAGTGATGTATATAGATGTCTGACTTTCTCCCAGACTGTAGCAAACCCAGTGTGAAATCTCCAATAGTTATACTCCCTGAAACAATGAAACAGTGTATGTTAATATAAAATATAAATTAAATCTGCTAACTATTAACATGATATGAAGTTGTGAAGTTTCTGGTATGTTGCAGTAATGTATAAATATATATATATAGTAATATGCAGACATTTTTACTCACCCTCTTGTGCACCAACTTTCTAACAATAAAATCTTTAATTTGTACTTCTAATTTTGTGAAAACTATTATTCCATATGATTAAATATATTGTAATTACATTAAGTCTGTGATGTAGGAAATTACATGATGAGAAACTTCATTATTTATGCAGGTCTTCTAGTGTTATTGGGGCAAAGTGGTTGTTTGGAAGGAGATGATATTAAGACTGATATTACAAAGAAAAACTGTGAGGATGAAAATGGTTTGTGAGGGTCATGTCATTAGCCGTGATTAACTTTTGGGATCTGCTACTGAAGAGCTAGCCAAAAGTCCATGTTCATATGTAAGTGTGTGGGAATGGTCATTCTTAACAATATTTGTCTCATTAATTACCTCCATCATCTGTGCATAAGCCACGACAGTTTAGACTCAAGTATATGCTAACTTCATACCATCTTTTCATAGCAGCACTGTCTCTACATACTTTTCTTTGTACTGAAGTATAAGTTTCAGTAGTCTATTATTGTACATATGTTTAAGATTGGTTATCAATTTTCTATCATCACCTATTACTCCATTTACTGAACAAATATTTAATTGAGATTTGAGGTGTTCTTGCCAGCAAGTATAAAGTCGGGTGTCTTATGGGTTGGTACACTATGTAGTCTAGTAGAAGTTTACCAAT